AACATAACCTTGAGGCCGGGGAATGAGCCATAATCCAGTCCACCTATAAAAAACAGGTCCCCCCCTAATAAGGAAACCCTAATAAGGAAACCTCGGTCGCAATGTTTCTAATAGGGGGTCCCTGAAATCGGGAGGTCCAAAAAAGGGTCACCTGGAAAGAGTTTCAACACCAAAAAATAGGGTCACCTAGAAAATCCTTTTTTAAACTCGTATCAAAAATGCAAAAAACCTCCAGATCGAAGGGGTCTTCCTTTTCCCCTACAAAAGCCTTCATTAGAATAGTGACTCTTCAGTAGACTAACAGCTAAAGCTTCCATCCGGTGCGAACACGCGCGCTCCCATCTGATGGACGAGATCCGAACGTCGCCGCATCTGTTGAGCGGCGATCTGAATCTTGGGAGCCGGGAGGTTTAGCCTTGGCGCTGGGTCCATGGCAATCAAGGTGAGCGGGTTGGCAAGCGCATGGACCAAGCTTGTAGTTTCTGCTGGGCAGGGCATCCAATCGGAGTACTGGTGGAGCTTTCTTTCATCACTTCTCTACTTTGCAATTTGATGTCACATACGGCAACAGCGGCACTCATGGCCCCAATTGCAATGACAGAAGATATGCACAGCTGACTCCTGGGTTTGGCAACATGTCTCCACGGGGGTTCGTTTGTGTGGCCCTTGATTGAGTTATAGTCATAGTTACGTAGGAATATGCGGCATAGGTCACAAGCCAGCTTGATTCGCAGCAACTTTCCTACCTTCGTACGCATGAAACAGTATCTGGGAGAATCAAATCTTGTGGTTCCCAAATAGATTGAAACGGTGTCCAATACATTATTAGTGGGGATCTACCTGAATATCCATGCGTCCATCTATTTCTCCGGGGTTTTTCAAAGAGTCGAACTCGACGAGGCGTCCGGTCCACCCGTCGCACGGTCACCAGGCTGCCCTGGAGCAGCAGGCCATGCAGCTCACCATGGAGTGCCTGCCCGACCCTGAGGACTCTGGTGGCTGGGGTAGTGGAGCAATTTTGGGGCGGATGCGCAGATGCGGCATGGATGCGCGGATGCGCATATAGTTGGAGAGAAACCACATCGAAACTTCCTTGAAGAAGCGCTCGCACTATTCACTTCGTTCCTAGATTTTTAGGAAAACGTAAAGGTTGGAGGTCGCTAGAGATTGAAGAATCCGCGCCGAATCACAACCTGAGGCCATCAAGGTGAGTGGGTTGGCAAGCGCTTGGACCAAGCTTGTAGTTTCTGCTGGGCAGGGCATCCAATCGGAGTACTTGTGGAGCTTTCTTTCATAACTTCTCTACTTTCCAATTTGATGTCACATACGGCAACAGCGGCACTCGTGGCCCCAATTGCAATGAAGATATGCACAGCTGAGTCAATGAGCCTTGCCATTTTAGCAGACTCCGAATCATGCTGATATGCTTGGTGGTCTGCAAGAGTTCCCAAGGAATCTCAAGACGGATTCCAGATAGAACAGTGCGCAATTTCAGACCAAAAGCTGCTGCAGATCTGTGCTTTGATTTTTTTGATTTGGGATTGAAACCCGTCGTCACCAAACCCCGGCCTCAAGTATAATGCATAAATAATCATAAATAATTTTCAGGCAGGTGAAAGTGCAAGCCAGTTTGTAATTCCAAAAGAACTTTCACAGATTCATACAACTTCATGTTTTTGTGTGTTTCAGAATCATCAGTGTATTGTACTGGAGTCCTAGGTTATTGTTTCAACAGTTCATTTGTCCATCAACCTTGATTTGGCCAAGTTGTTGATGACCAGCAAACACCTAGTAGATATGAGTAAAAAGAGCCAACATGGGGGTGGGTGTTGGAGCAGGTTTTTGCTCATGATCTTCGTTCTAGCTGTGGGACCTACAGGCTGCCTGTCGCACCTGTCTGGCACACGAAGCACTAAGCACTGGAACATTTCGACCCGTTGCGCCCGAACGAGCTCCCTCGAACCGGAACTGGTCGTGGCCATGTGGATCGGCTTTCAAGCCACGAAAGCCACCGGATGGGTAGCAAAAGGTCACCCTCCGTTGGCTCATCCACGGTTTCCGCGCTATGAATGGGTCATAGGGTGCAATGGGCTATCAGAGAGTAAGGCAAAGTTTTTGAGAGCACATCCATGGCTACTGACTATATTGCTTGTACAAAGAGGCTATATATCTTGGATGCTAGTCATACATGAGGCAATAGCCAACAGGTGCGTTTTGATGTTCAGTGTCTTTACGCTTCATTTGATCCTCACTTTCAGAAGTATGTGTGCATATATCCAGATGAGAAGTATCCAGATGTTTGCCCAAAAACTCAAAAACTGTCGACCTAGAGTGTTTATATATTTGAAGTATATATGTCCTCAGGCTGCGAGACCCAGGCCCAAGACCCAGCGCTGGCCTGAAGATGGGGTTGCCAGTCGCCGGTCCCTTTCATAAACCTTGGAAGCGAGCGATGAGTCAAGCGGTCTGGCCCCAAAATCTGGGTGGCATCCCCTGTCTTCAGGAGCCAAAATCTGAAAAATATCATGTCAATGTTCAGAGAATTTTTGACATTGACCCGAGGACTGCGACGTGGTCGCAGCAAAATCCCATGCAGCCGGCTGGAGCAGTGCTTGTGAAAGGATCCATTGAAACTGTTGGATGTTGAGCAGCTGGAAAAGGAACTTCTTGGTTGGACTCGATTCTTCATCCATCATTCGGAGATGCATGCGCATCATCAGACACGAAGCAGCGTGGAGTCTCCTTTTTCACGCCGTGAGCCTCCTCCGGTTGAACCGTCGCGGGTCCTGACCCACATAAAAATCCGGTGTGAACCGTCGTGTGCGCTGAGCAGTTGGTCACCAGTTAGTTCAGTCTCTTGCCACACTTTGCCAATTGACTGAACTAACAAGGCATTGTAAGGAAATACAAGGCAAAATGCCGGCGAAGCCGAGCACAGGCACCGGTATATGGCCTCGCAAATGGCTAGCTGGCTAGCTCTTCACTTTTTGTCGCGTGAAATTTGTCACTTTGTCAAGCTTCACGGGCACCCTCCCAGGTGCCCAAAGCGCCCATGTTGTTGTCGATGCCTCCGGCCAAGAGCGCTGCTTTGCCCCCACACCCCAAGCCGCCGTCCGGGGGCTCTGGGGAGCTGAGGAGAGACCGACCAGGTCGGTGGGTCACTGGTTCGCAAAAAGAGATGGACCAAATAACATGCCAAAGAGCTTATGAAGTCACCAGTTCTGGGGTTCGAAAAAGATCAGATATGAACAAAGACTACTTGGTTCGGGGCTTCGAGCGTGGATACCACAATTCATTCAATCCGTTGGTCTAGGATCCCGGATCCTTCAAAAACCCTGTGGATCCCTAGGACTCTGGTCGACAAAAAGGGTCGACTTCGTTGGGCCGGGGCAAGCACACACGATGTCAATAGTGCCTCACTCGGGCAGCACAACTAACATCGCCAATGATTTGCTTGTTCTTCATCGCGGTTATTAAACAAGAAAAAAACATCATCATTCTAGAAAAAAAACACCCCTGAAGCTAAAGCAAAATGAGCTATCTAGCAATTACTAGCGATTGACGCAAACTGAGACGCTTCAGCACCTTCGGCGGGCTGATTTGATGGCTAGTAGACCAACACCACACAGTTGATCGTCCATCCAACAGTGATATTGCGTCATACATTCACTCTTTTTCCATGAGGTAGGCAGGCAAATCGCGACTTTTTGTTGGAACTGAACGAGCAGAAACAAACATGCCATGAACATTCATGTTCCACCCTGTCCCAAACAACGCTCAATCCTTATTCCAGCTGTAGATCTTCTTCCCAAACTGAATATCTAATCGGCACAGGGCTTCACAGCATTGCAAGTTGGCCACTCCGAACTCATTGTGACGAGTCGCGACCGTTCTGGTTTACAAGTTGCACCCTGCGGCTGGCTTGGCACACACAAAGTCAACGAAAATAACTTTGACAAAGCACCTCAATGTGGGCTTTGACAGTGGACTGGGAATTCTGTGAAGCCTCAAAAACCTACGTCCAATAACAATGTCTAAATGTTCATATTTTTGGACATAATTAATTCACAATTGATTTATGACATCTACATTTAGAATTACATAATGTCGAATTCTAAATAAATATTTCATCATTTCGAGTCTAAACTCTTCACCATGGGCTCTTCGACTTCCCCCACCGGTCCTACCAGCCGTGGGCCCCAGGGGCCCGTGGCACTTTCCGGGCACCGGCCGGGAGCCCGTGGGAGCGAAGCCGGGAGAAGGAGAAGGGAGTGTGGGTATAAGAGATGGGTAAGAGGCTCAGAGGTGTCATTTTTTCAACAAAACATGAAGTAAACATATGTTGTTCTTGTTATTGTTGTTTCAAAAAGGATGAAAAGAGTTTGGAGGTGAAATCCGGAAACTGGGACATAGCTTCACCTGCGGACGAAACGTCTATAACGTTGAATCTTCAATTGCAGGGGTCGAATGGGGGGTCTTTCCGTACCAAAGCTTTGAGGAGTCATCTCCAAAGAGGAGTCTCTCCGTAGCAAGCATCGTGTGTATGCTTTAGTGCGATGGAGCAATCATCCGCAAGTTGACTCCCAAAGGTCTCAAGAATCTTAGGATCACCACATGTTCTATGACTGTGGGTATACATGGGAGTGTCTCAATCTAGAGAGACCCCAAAGCCTGAAAGAGGGCAACTGGACGAAAGCGTGGGGAGGCGACTTCTTTGCTTCCTGCTCAATTTAGACTTACCCCATCGCCCATCCAGCAAATCATGATAAATCATGAAAAGCAAAGCAACACCTTCTCAAGCGAATCATTGATAGCATTAGTATGCATTAGTGACCATGCCAATCTATTTCGCAACCTCCAGCTTTTTGGAGTTGCAGGTCTTGCCAGGCCTTGAGTCTTCAACCACCAGTCCAATGGGGAACGACCGTAAGAGCCGAAAAACGTCCCGTTCCGCGATGCTCCAGGGCAGAAGCTGGGGCCAGACTCCAAGGCCCAGCCTTTCGGACTCGAGAACATCGATGGAACATCCAGAGAGGAGGATGGCTTTGTGTTTTTTCTATGGTTTTCTTTCTCATGCCTGTTGCTGTTGTTAGCTCCTGTGAATGGACATATGTGTTGCTGTTGTTGGACTCTCGCGAAGAACGTTCAGGATAGAGATACATGTCTTTGAAATATGGCCGAAGAATCTCACTGCTTCACTAGGGATGAAGGCAGTATCTCAGGATCCCTAGCCCGCAACAGAAGGGTAGTTCATGTGTTAGGCCCCCAAAAGGCTTGTGCAGCCACACAGCCACTCTGTGGAAGGGGCCAAAGCAGATGTGTGAACCAAGGCTGCTGCGCCTCGTTTTGGTCGTCCAAAACTAGGTCCACATGTGTTCCGCCCAAAGTAGGAGCACTTGGATCTGGCAAATCTGTCTGTATGTCCCAGACCATCCATGGGACTGGAATAGTCACGTACCTTAGGGTCACACATACCTACATTAGGGTCAAACATGGCAATGGAGTAAATGTTTGCAACTATTCCATACATGGACCGGGTTTTTCTCTTCGATCTTCCGTTTCCTCGCCCACGGTATTTGACACGATGTGACAAGTAAGTGACTCATCTCCTTGATCAGTTCCAGGTGTTTTCTTCTTTCCGATTTGGGAAGGATGTTCCAAACCTGGAACAAAACGACCTAGTCCACCCCTACATGGCCCTTCGACCTTCTACATAGGTCGACCACTTCCGGTCTCTCTGTTTGGACAAAGCCGTGACTCGATCTCCAGGCACCGCCACCGAAGAGCCCACCTTCGACGGCGACCGAGGTCGAGGCCCGGTCGATGCGGCGACCCCGCGACGCGGCGTGGTCGGCCTGGGTGATGAGTTTCGATGAGTCCACCGATTCCAAGGCTGCCATAGCATATGTAGGAGCATGGGCCCGTGACACTTTTGGCAGTTGCCCTGGAATGTAGGTGTCCCACTTCACGATCCTATCGCTTATATATAGGACTATTTTGAACTTTAGTTTACTTCAAGTGCAGAACACAATTATATACAGAAATCAACGACACTCCATGCCGCTGAACCCAGGCTCAATCGTCACAGGCGGGGGGGGCTGTGCATAGCTTGGAGAAGGGATCGGCACCGTGTGCTGCACGACCCACTTGTTGCTGCAGAGAACTGGCCGTGGGGTGTCCAGATTGCTGTTGTTGCAGATTTTTGTCAAGTCGTTAGTCATCCTAAATCCTAGCAGAGCCACGCTCTGAATTTGATAGAGTACTGTGAGTTCTTTGGAGCATTCAATTCAACTTCCTCCAACACGTGTGATCTCCACCGGCAAGTGTTTTTGAACCTGACCTTGAAGCTAGAGAAAGGACCGACGATGGGGTGATTGTGTGGTCCGTGTCTTTGCCTCCGAACTTCATGTTTCCTGACGTTCGCAAGCGAGGTTGACCACTGACGGAACGGCGCGCGCCAGCGCGCATGTGTGGAAGAGCAGCCTGTGAAAGACCTGAGCAAACTCCAGTTCCAATATGTTCAACCAGTCAAAGGTACACAGTGACAAACTGCCCTCCTGGCCGGAACATATCCCCCCCAGACATGTTCTTTGGACTCGGGTTCCCGCAAACCATGACCGTATGACCTGGTGCCTTTCCTTTGTGGTTACCAAAAGATCTCTACGAGGATGGAGGGACTTACATATACAAAATTGATTTGTGACCTCAGTGGTCATCATGAATGACAATGGAGCAACCATGAATCGAAGGCTGCTGGCCTTCTTTGTGTGATGCCGCACCGCCAATCAATCGCGGGTACCAGTTGAGCTTGCACAAAGTTTGCTGCTCAGAGATGGATGGCTCGGCTTCAGAAATAAAATGCCAGTCGCAGTGTGCAGCGTGCTTTTCCAATCACAGGGTGCCCTTGCATGCCATCCACGCGATGTCGAATAGTTGTACTGTAGTGGGTTTATAAGAATTCCTTGGACTTGAAGTCGCACCTTTGGTAATTTATCCAAACACTGCAGGTAGCTAGTTGACGCTACTTTGTCAGCCTGCTCACCCATTCCATACGTGTCAAATGTTCCTTTCAGTACATGTTTTCGTTACATAGTGTCATGCCCAGTCACATGCCACAGTAAATCAATGGAATTGAGAATCCGGAGCGATCTTGCTGAGGGATCTGGAGCAATCTTGCTGAATCTTGCTTTTCCAAATCCCTTCCCAGTGTGTTTGACAGCCACTGTAGCGTGGGCTTCGCTGGCGTGTTTTGGGGTTCCTGGTCACCTGGTCCGACCGTTGTGGAGGCATCAATGTTTGACTTGGAAAGGGTTGCTTGGATGATCAAGTTTAACTAAACCCGACAACCTCAGTAGGGACCAGATAAAAATCCGAAGCAGCCACAAGTTCGCCTGCCCAGCTGGACGCCCCCACGCAGGGAAGCAGGCGTCGAGCAAGATTGCGCCGCTGGGACTTGAAAGAGAAACGAGAGCTGCATTGACAATTGAGGAGCACGCCCTGAACAGCCTCAAGACTGAGAAAGGGAATCGCAGGAACCTCCTGAATGGGATTGCCATCAGTCAGGAAATGTCAGGAACAAGCCATTAGAATCAATGAATTACTTCGACAAAAGGAAGCATTATCTAGATGTCAGGATGCTTGGAGCTCAGGTGGAATAGACTAGACTATCGAGACTAGGTCAACCACAGATGGTCAACGTTTTTGGAGCGTGGTCACAAGCGGATCTGTGTTTGCTGTTTAGACAGTTGAACAGGTCAACCCGGTCGTGGGAGGTTTTTTGAAAGGGTGGATCCCGCATCAGCTGGATTGTTGGATTGTGAGATCGAATTATGTGTATATAATAAGTCACAAGAAGCTAGTAGAAACAAGTGCATCGCTTCTAGTAACAAGTGCCTTACTAGTAGTAACAAGAAGCTAGTAGTTGGATCCTCTAAGGTATTAAATTTAGTATATAATATAAAAACGGCTTTTTTCGACAAACAGCTATATAGTAATCCTGGAGACCCAACATAGACCCCTAGATCCCCCAAGGCTTGGCAAAACCAGTTTTTATTGGACAAGCTCAGCGGTTACTAGATGGTTTTACAGATGGATAACTGGGATTACCAGGCCCAAGTCACTCCCCAAGTCCGACAAACCAACCACTCAAAGCTGCTCGCTGGATGTTCCCAGGGCTCGATCCAGCATCCCCTTGAGCGCAGTGGCGCCACTCGGCGTTTGGAATCGGAATGGTTTCCAGTGGCGCCAGTCAGACTAAGCTTAAGCGAGGCAGGACATTCTCATGGCAGGCTTAAGAAGAAGTGGGTACTGGTAGAATCATGTTGAATCCAAGAGCAGGAATTGGACACTTGGACATGGAATGACATGGACATGTAACATAGATCAGTCCCTTTATTGGTTTTCTGGCTGATTCTGTCCGGAAGTGTGGGGGTTCTGGGGTCGAGGACCAAGACTGAGGTGAAGACAGGGACAGAACACAAGATTGGGGACCTTTCAATACTCCAAAGTAATATAAAGTAATCATTAATTGATTGAAGAGTGACCTGAGCTCTTCAAATGAGCTGGTGGAAGCTGAACACCTTTATCATCTCACTCTACACGCTCGATATCTCCTTCATCTGTAGCGACACCCAGCGAATGAACGAGTTGGGTTGGGGTATGCTGGGATTTTCTCCTTTGAACATTGAGTGTCTTGGGGCAAACATCAATCGACATTTCTTGATGGTGTTGAAAGGCCGTGCTGCTTGGAATCGACCTCGGGCATCACACCAACCCCCCAACATTTCTGGGCACCCCCCCAATGGGTCTAAGTGATGGAGAGTCCCTGTAAAATTCCATTCAGATCTAAGTGATCGAGTCTTCGCCTCTGAGGATTCATCAAGATACAACCTTCATGCTGCACTCTCAGTCCTTCGGACGTTCGGGACTGCGTGCCGCGAGCCGTTTTCCCAGCGTGCCACGCCGGACCTGCAGGTTTCGGACGTCCTAAACCGTGGAGTCCGCATGGTTGAGCTAAATCAATTGGAGGTCCGTTTTTGTTGACTGTCACCATGATGCTTTTGATGTTGCCAAGGCAGATTGTGTATACGAAGTGGCTCTTCCAGTGACTGGTTTCTTGCCCGGCTGTGATGGTCGCCATGCCGAGGTTAGATGTGTCCAGATTTACCTCGGAGGAAGCGAAAGAGAGGTGCCGTGGTTTCCCGGCAGGCACAGGTTTTTAGAGTAGCACATGGTAGCGCAAGGGACAGACCTTGCCTCCTGTTATGATTCAATCTTCTACCATCTAACATTCCTATGTCCATGCATATTTGATCTATGCATCTAGTTTGACTAGTCTGGCATCCTACACTGCACTGGAGGCTCTGTCATAGGTGTTTACCATTGTTCTTGACTGCATCAAAATGACTATTGTTCTATAGACGATGGATACTATATCGCCTCTCGTTCTGTTGGTTGTACATAAGTTTAGTCCTTGGGCCCAAGAAAGTTGTCCAGTTTATTGGTAAAATAGTATACACTACGATGACATGTAGTCTCTTGTAAACTACACACCGCCCCATGCTTTCTGGGTCGTCAGCCTACTGACTGATGGACACTATCCTGCACCCGAGATGGTGGATTGGGGCACATTTTGCCATGATGAGGCTGAGGCTTTCCCTCCCTTCTGGTAAACTTCCTGTGAGGAATGTTGGAAAGCCTCATGTTAACGAGTCCTTCCCTTTGATGTTTGCTCAGCTAGTCCATTCTTGCAGGTAGGTGACGAACCCACTGGCCAGCCATCGGAGTGTTCCTACAGCCATCGGAGTCACCACGCGTCCCATCCGCCAGGCATTTGGGAGAGTGTGGTGATCCGCCCGAGGCCTGGGCCGTGCGCGCCCGTTCACCCGAGAGGATCTTGCGTGGACGGTTGGTTGGTTGGTTTGTTGGTTGGTGAGTGGGTGGGTGTGGGTGGGTGGGTGGGTGGTTGGTTGGAGGTGTTTGGGCTAAGCCTTCACCTTGCTTTCTCCAGGTCGGACGTGAAAAAACTCGGTGTTTGGGAGGCATATGGTCGATGCGGGGGACCCACCACCCAAACCAAGGATCCCGCATATGGTCGATCCTGCAGGGATCCACCTCCACCTGTCCACCCTGTTCGGACCTCCGAAGGAGGAGGAGCCACGTGAGCCGGAGATCACCGGTACCTTCGGGAGTCCCGCCGGGGTGGGACTCTCACGTGAGTCGGGTGACCCACCTGGTGAAGAGGGTGACCCACGCCGTGGAGAATGCGCCACATCCAGGTGGAGATCCTCGCGCGGGGCGAAGAGAACGGAGTCTTGGCCGCTAGGCGCGGGGCGAAGAAACCTGCCTTTGGAGCTGTGGATGGTGGGAATTGGGAATGCCCATGACTTTCGTACTCTTGCTGGTGAAATCTGGAAAGCTAGGTGGGATGGATATACCCACCGCTTGACCTTGAACTTGCCCCACTATTGCCAGTCTTTGAGACTCGCTTGTGCTTTATGTTCGGATTGCTTCCTTTGCTTCCAGCTACTTGAGTCTTGAGATGTATTGAGTCTTTCAATGTCAATGGGCATGTCTTGTGCTAACTCTTTTGGGGAGGAATGTACGCCCGTCTACCAGCTACCTTGTTGACGTATACAGTATTACGCAAAAAGGATCACGAATCACCCGCTGTTTCACCGCGGAATCCATCGAAGCGCTGTCAACACGAGCCGGCAAGACAACGCTGTCTCGCGGCGCCGGCAGGGGGACCATCCGCGTCCAGTACAATGCGCGCAGGATCTTCGAAAGTCTTTGTGACCCAGAGGAGACCAAACCGATCGTTGAGGAGTCGATTCAAAGGATTCAAGATCTGGGGATGACGCAGAGTCTTTGAGGATTCAACACTGAGACTTGGGGAGGTCCAAGATTGTTTTTGAGGGGATGTTGGTGTCTTTGAATCACTGAGCTTTCACCAGCCCTACCGTACCATACTCTTGCGGCTTCGATTGTGAGATGCAAATTGAGATACCTTTATTCTGTGACTTGCAAATGGGTACCCAGTAGAAATGTAGGCGGTCTGTTCTTGATTGAACATAAACCATCCAAGAGTCCAAGAGAAACAATGTTGGACTCCACCCAAGGCCATGGGTCAAACTTGAACCCCAAAACCACCGAACTTGGCATCTCCGCGTATCTCCGTGTTTCGGTGGAAACACGTGTTGAACCGCCGGGGTGTGCCGAACGTGTTCAACGCGATGTCGAGGAGAACAAGCGGATCTTCGACAACTGCGCCTCGGTGAACTTCCGTCAGCTCATCCACGAGGATCAGGCGCGGGAAGCTTGACGCGATCGCACCGGTGGTAGTGGCTGACTCTTGGAGCGACGCTTACAAACAGGGTCACTTGTGTTCCCAGAGCGTGAGGGGATCCCCCCCAACTTGCTGTGGAACCTCTACTTAGGTGTGTTTGCTTTAAACATCGATTTTTCTGGTTGATCTGTTTGCTGTTGCGAGTTCGTTGCTGGATCGGATACTGTATATCCCTTTTATCGTCGGCAACCTGTTCCAAGGACAAAGCCTAGAGATATCTAGAGCTTTGGCTGGCAAGACCAGAGCCTACCTAGCGCTTCCAAAGGGGTGCCCAATGGAGACCTATTGGTGACCCCTTGGAAGCAGCAGGTATGTTGCAAGTTCACAAAATGCATAAGAGAGTGACGAGAAAGGCATATCGATGAACAGGACGATGAAACGATCGAAACCCTTTTGTGCGGTGGGGATTCCTCAACACATAGCTCCCCAACGACCCCTTGGAAAGGTGAATGACATTTGTTTGGGGTTCCATTCTGAGGCAAGACGCTGTGTACGCAGGTCTTGTGTACGCATGCGTTGATGTTTGGTTCGACGAGTTCAACGAAACCCAAAATATCCCAAGGGTTTCGTACCCAAGTAGCTCCACATGTTCCTCTTCCATGTTACAGGTGCAGTGTGAGGTTGTTTCTGTCAATAGGGCTATTCAGGGCTCAGGTTGGGTGGGTTCAGAGCACTCAAGGAGATCAAGACCTATGATGAACAAATCCATACAAATCCCAACTGTGATAAAAGACCGGAAGATCCTTCCAAAAAAGACTGCTTCCATGTTGCATATTATGAACCCTGGCTGTCCATCACCACCGGGGGGAAAATCCTGAGATCCTTTGCCACGCTCGACAGCGCCGCTGCTCGGTCGGACGATTTGGAGCTCCAGGTGAAGAAGACCAGGCTCTTTGAAGTGAGCAAGACTGGACAGTGGAACCTTCTAGGCGCAGTGAGTGGGCCTATTTCGCACGAAAGGGACTGATCCACCGGATCGTTCCCAAACCGACAGTGTCACACGCCAAGTCCGTCCCGCCCCCCCGAGACCTAACAACCCCAATTCGGCCGAGGTCGGGTTACACAACGTAGTGTGGTCAAAATGTAGAACATCCCTTTGAGAAGGCAAACAGTGCCACCAACCCCAATCTCTTTAGAACCCAGAGAAGGCGGACGGATCGGGCGGGAATTGCCAGGAATTCCAATCAACTTTGAGTCCACAGTCTTGGCCATGGAGGAGAGTTTGTTCGCAGAGTTTTCTGTGCGATGATTGGACTGAGATGTACTGATGTGGAGAATCAGTTTCAGAACTTTACTCAGTGACCACGGGAGGTATCTGAAACTTATTTGGCAAATTCCAGATCATTTGACCCCTGCTCTGAGAGGAAGGGTTGCCATTTTCATCCATTTTCGGTCGCTGGTCCCACCCTCCGTACGTGGCAGGTGGTTGGGTTACATTGTTACATGTATTTCCACTGTGGCAACTGGGCATGTTTCAAGAGGACGAGTATAGAGTCGAAAGCCCAAAGAACCAAGGTTATGGGGATCGAGATTTTGCAATAGTCCTGATTGATTAGGGTAGAACTAGATGTACAGGACACATTTACTATAGACAACCTCGCAATGATGGCCATCCTCATTCAGCACAACATTCAGTACAGCCCAGTGCAAAGCCTCCAGTCTGGAAACCTTGATGTCAGACACCCAACATCACCCAACCGTTGTTCCGAGTCCAATCCGCTTTGCTTCCGATCATCTTTGGGGGGGGTGAATCACGGCGTGAACTGCTTGGAGTCATGTTGCTCACGGCGTACACTGTGATGTCATCCCCGTCGTCCTCGTCTTGTCGTGCCGGGCCATTCACGGGTGTTCGTGCCGGTGATCGGTAGTGATTCCCCAAGGGTTTTGGCTCCTTTCCGTGTGGAAGCTGATGCCGAAGCGCGCTGAAACGCAGAGGATTGGAAGAAATATGAGATCAGCTTCAAGCTGAAGAAGCAGGGGGCCATGAAGCACATGTCAGGCCGTGCAAGATGCGTCAGTTTGGGCCATTTCACCACAAAAGGCACTCGCTGTGTGTTTTCTGGCGGGAGTTGCAACGAAGTCATCACAAGCTGGGGTGTTCTGCAGAGTCTTCTGCTTGTGCTGTTTGTATCCAAATCCGTCGAGGAGGGGGGTGGCCCTGTTGAGCACGGTAGAACATGAACGAAGCCAGAAAGGATGGAATCAATTAGCTGCCAGAGCAATCATTCTTGATCATGGATGATCCAAAATTGTTGGCGAGTACTGAGTAATACATCAATGTTTCTCAAGGATTCTCAAGGATTATCCAGTCTACTGTGGCTTCCTACCATCCATAATTTCTGGTGGTCATCAAATCTCAATACCCTTGAAAAGCACCACATTGCACCACATAGCATAGGCAAGATGGCTCGAGTTGGACTTTGCGTCACGTGCTTGTGCCTTATATCTCCAGGTGAACCATGGAGCGTTTGGCCTTGGCCTTTCGGGTACTTGGTTTTTCCTTGCCCTTATGTGTCTCGCCCGTCACGAGGTCATGTCGGGCGTCGATTTGAGCATCAACAGGTTGAATAACGCCCTCCTGACCAGGAGATGTAAAACATCGTAAAGCCATGCTGGAGACGGGTGGCTTTATTGATCCACAGTTAACATATCTGGAGTTTCTTCATTCTTGTGATAGTGATAAGCTCTTTATTGGGCAGAGTTTCATACAGCTTTTTTGCCACACACACACACATGTGTGTGTGTGTGTGCGGCTTGTTTGCTCGCTGCTTTTGGGTGGACCCTTTGCAATGAAGGGGAGAGTCTAGTATCTTTGGATCTGATACCGGGTGGCTTTAAACCTGGCTGCTTTACTTGAAAAAGGAAAAACATAGCCCAAAGAAAAACTAAAATGAACTAATGATATCCATTCTTGCAATACATTGAAAATTTGCTGAAAATATGTCCTTTTAAGAAAATTCATACCAATGGTTTGTGTGTTTGTGTATTGTGCCCATTCAGCCCATTGCATATTGTTTGTGATTGGCAATTAGTAATCTTCATGAAAGGTGAGCCCTGTGCAAACCACCCAAGCTTGGGAAGGGCCAATAATAATCAACCATTGTTTTCAAAGGTTCAGCTCATTGCATTCTATGTGTAATTTGCAGTATGTAGGATTCATCAAAGCCTGAACCATGTGCAAACCAGCCAAACATAAGCCAGTGCTCTTTGTTGGAGTGTGTTTTATTTGTAAAAGTTTGTACAGTTTTTTTTTAGATTGTTTTAGTTTTTTTCAGTTGTTTTTAGTTCTATTTAGCTTTAATTAGTCTTTAATAGTTTTATGACTGTTTCTACATGAAAAACTTAGGGCAATCTTTTTACTCAAGCAAGCAAAGCGAGTAGGTTTAAAGCGGTATGGAATGTGCCCTAATGATAGTAGGGTATGTGCGCTTGGCATTGAGAGTTTGTTTCAGTCGATTGTAGGCCTCAGCTCTGTCTCAAAAAGACGAGACTGCCACTAACAATGACATGTTGACTCATGTCACCATGTGATTTGCCCATCCCAGTGGATCCAGTGACCACTATATATGTTAATAATTGTTAATATATAGATTCCCAGACAACCACTCGTTCCAAAGACTTAAAACCGTAAACCGACCATGACCAAAACCCTCTTGGTGTCCTATATAAATATATTTGAAGAAGTAGAAGTCACGTGTTTTCTAAGGAGTAGAAGTCATGCTGGGAAGAGTCTTATACATCACTTCTACACACAACTGCTCGCTGTGTGGAATCCACCGGGCAGAACGTCGGCCCACAGAACCCCCAGCTTTGGCCAGGCTTTTGGCGCATCGTTCCCGTCAGCCAGGACGGCTCGGGTCGCCCCGGTCGGGTTGCACCGGTCGGGCGTTCCAGCCCCCCCCGACGCTAGTGAAGCAGGACGAGTCCATTGTCCTCTTTTACAATGAAGTCAACGACTCAGACCGTTGGACTTGACCGTTGAAGCGACGTGTGATCCGTAGGGTTTGAGTCTTCATCAGTTGAAGCTCCGCTTGGCCTTTTGACCTGACAAGTCCTGTGAGTTCGGGATGAAGGGGACAAGCATTCAAAGTCTGCGCCAGACGTCTGGACCACCGAGGCCGTTCCCTTTATCCGAATCCCTTCAATCTTCAAAGTCTTCGCAGGTGCGGCCAAGGGAGGTGCTGAGATGGGCTGAGTGCTTTTCTCACCGCGTCGTTTCTGAAGGCCAAAGATTCCTTCACGGGGCCGACCAAGTGAACAGCAAGCCAAAGGGTGTTTCCCTGCTGAACCTTCGGTTACGGGATGACCGATGCATAATTCCATCCATCCCCACACCCAGTGTTCCTTGCGGATCGATGTGCTGTTGACACCTCAACGTGTCCTTTACTGTATTTCTTAACAGCTACAGCTTCAGAGAAACACCCGGCCGGGCAGACAGGGACACCTTACTGCGTGGACCGCTCCCCGCGCGGCTTCCGATCCGTTGGAGGTCGCCTCATCCAAGAGATGGCGGTCTCCCTGCTTGAGGACGCGAATGAACGTGGGTGTGGATGGAAGAATGTGGAAGATCCACGGGTTTGGTGGGTCATTAAATATTACCAGAAGGTATTCTAAAAAGCTCGAAAATTCTTGGATGTGGCACCCCACCAAAGGATAGGTATAGATTTGCAATGATTTGCACCTGTTTATGGTATCTGGTATCGGCCTCATACTAATCATCATCATCATCATCACCACCACCACCACCAGCAGCATCAGCATCAGCAGCATCATCATCATCATCCTCATCCTCATCCTCATCCTCATCCTCATCCTCATCCTCATCTTCCACAGTTTGTGGGCTGAAACAATAACAATCTACATGTCGATGGCGTCCAAAACCGCAGACGCGCAGACTGCCCTCCCTTGCTGCAGCTTCTCAAAAATGTATCCAGCATGAGTGGGCCATCCCTGCTCAAAATGCCAGATTTGTGGATGGCGCTGCTGTGTTGGGCTGGCTTTGGCGAAGTTTTAAGAATTCAATGAGGAGGAGTCTAATCGTGCCTCGAGATTCCGCGTTTGCGGCTCTTGCAGGAAGATGAGGAAGTGATGACCTCGCCTTTAAGCCCAAAGCTGGTGCCCTCCTCCTGACCCAGCAGAGGACTCCGCGTTCAAACATGTTGCCAGGGACGCGTAGAAGTGGAAGCAAGCGGCTGCAAGATCGGCAAGATCCCAATGGACAGCTGGACCAACTCGGATGGACAGCTTGTTGTTGGAGGCCAGTTGGCTCACTAAGACCCGTGGAGAGTAGCTGATGGCTCCACCCCTTTGCTGGTGGCTGCTCGGGGAGGTTATTCAATCGTGGTATTCACGATTGCTGGAGGCTGGAGGCTGGGGCGAGTTGCTGTGAAGCGAGAGATGATACAACTCCCTTGCGTTTGTACCACTCCCGGATTCGTTAAAGTGGTGCGCTTGCTGCTGGATGTTGGATCGTCATGTAATGATTCCCCACCAGAAGCTATTTGCACTCCTTCGCTTGTGGCAGCTGGAAATGGTTCGATTGCTGCTGAAGGCTTGTGCTTGTTGTGACTAGCGCACCACAAAAGATGGCTTCACGCCTTGGCATTTGGCAGCTCTCACGGGCCAGCTAGAAGTGGCACTCCTGCTTCTAGAGGCTACAGCCTCCTATAATGCCACACGTTTGGCTGCCTTCTGGGGCTATACAGAAGTGAACAACTTGCTGCAAGACAATGATGCAAAGTGAGGAACGAACACATCCCACTCAACACCCAGCTGTTGAACAAAGCCCCTATGATGTGATGATTTGGTCCGCACGGTCGTTTGATTAACCGGAGATCTTGGGCGAGATGAGCATGACAGTGGGATGACAATGTCCTCCCACTTGCTCCCACTTAGTGGAAGGAACATGTAAGCAATGGCCCTTGGTTCTCGTGGGATACCAACACCGGTGAACATCCAGCTGGTTCACCGGAAACTGTGCAGTTTCCTTTTATGGGAGCAAGGCAGCCATGTATTGCAATGTGGTCGCGATTTTGGTGATTGGAGGCCATCGCTTGTAGGTTGGAGGCCATCGCTAGCAGGTTGGAGGCCATTACGATTAGGTGTTTCCTTTTCAACGTGCCCATCTGATGGAGGGTTCGACCACTCGTGTCAGCACTCGTGTGCATTACCTTGAGCGACCTCACTGACCATGAGCTCTTTGGTTTCCGAGCTCACCCGTTTCATAGGCCTGATGACCTAATGGATGAAGCAGGATGATGTAGAATGAGCCAATTCTTGCACTCTACAAAGCTTGGCTTGGCACACTCTGACCCAACATGGAAGTGAAGCATCCCTGGTTTGCATAGAAAATGATCGACCAATTATTTTCACTTCCATGTTTGGCGAGTCTGAGCTTTTGCCCCTTTGGGACATCCCTGAAATCTCAGTACACTCCCTGGAATAATCATTCAAGTGGATGGCATGGCCCCTTGGATGAGCATGAAATCCTGCCTGATTAATTATTTCAAAATTTGTGCCCGGTATACAAGTCCAAAGATCCAGGAAAACCCGCAGCTTTTACCTCCTTGACTCCTCGAGTCGTGTTTTTTTCTACAAAATTCTGTTCCCAGGTCCCCGGTCACTGGCCGTCTTCTTTGCTTCTTGTCGCTGGATGAACTCCGACCAGGACCTCCGTAGCGCCTCGAAGCGGTGGCAGAAGGAAGAGGCTGCTCCGGTCACTAAAGCGGAAGCGCGGCAGCGTGGCAGATCGGAGATCCGGGATCAGGTGTGATTGGGTGCTGTCTAAGAAAGTGGTGTCCGATTGAATGTGTCCGAGATGTTGAGAATTGTTGAGATGGCTTGAAAGGAACCATATATCGCATATTCTACGCCTTCCATCACACTTTGAAAGGAGTTTAATCCAGCAGCCACCCCTTTGGAACCCCCTGCACGTCCAAGAATTTTGGACAGTCATGGAGTTTGGTCTAGTTTTGGGTCCCTATGAAATAGAAGTCACAACGTGACATACGCAATGGTTTCAAAGGGATTGCACAATCCCCACAAGGTGGAGTATATGGACCCCCATATAAAAGATAACTTTCAACAAACAGTTCATCCACCAGCCAGTGACCTCGAGCCATTCACCCCGGCTTCCCCGGCTCGCCTCTCCAGGCCGAAGGCATCCGTCACCACTTCAATGCCATCGAGCCGGGGTCCACCGAAGCAGCTGGGATCCTCTGGACGGATTGGACGGGATGCCCTGTAGGCAGGGTGGTGGCGTAGATGGGTCCGTTCCTCTGTCTTGTTCATGTGTGTTTTTTCATGTGTTTGTGCTATTTTTGGGGGGTATTTGTCTCGTCATAGGATATTGCTCCGCATGTCTTGAGGACAAGCAATGTCTTGGAGGGAATTACATTGTGTCAGGTGGGTTTTGACTACAATGTGACTACAACATGTCCCATGGACACATCGTGTCAAGGAGGCCAGCAACTTCACCCTGTCTGGCCTCAGTGTGTCACAGTGTCCCTCCGGTCGGTGGAGATCGGAACGTTGCGGTCTATGAAATACAACAGACTACGACTGTTTGTAGCAGGGGCAAGTTCGTCCCATTTCGTGGGGTCATCAGGAAAGGCCATGGAATTGGTTGGTCCCAAAGGCAATTTCGTGGACCTCCTTCAGCCGTCGACCACCGGCGCCACGGTCCATTCCGTCGTCATCGTAGGTCTCGTGCCAGACGGATGGAAACATGAGGATGCTTCATGTCGTTGGTTCTTCCCCGCACGGAAACCTTCAGTTTGACTGGTCAAAGGAGAAAACAATGAAAACCCATGGCCAGAGCGGCCCATGGCCTTTCCCTCTTCTAGTATGCATGCTGCCATGCACCACTTTCCACCATGCTCAACTGAATCCCTTGGCCAATGGTCCCTATCTTGCACCACACCCTGTACCACGCGGTGTGCACAAGTCTGTAACTTGGGATTCCACTATGAAGCCCGGTCCTATCCTCTCCTTCGCATAGATGTCGTGGGCTCCACAGCCAAGGCCGAGGAACACTTGCCGCTGCCCAAGCGGAGAAAGGGAACTTGTTCAAAAGAGCCGTGGCACATGGAAAGCGCCCACATCCCACCGTGAAAGCACCGGTACTTCACCTCCCACCGTGAAATCCATGGATCAGATGAGACTCATTGCTCAGTTGGAAGTTTCTTGCCAAGTAACAAGTCCACCGTCCTTCTTTTTGGAAAGGGAGGACGCACATGTGCTTCCCTTTTTTCGGTCCTTAGCCGCAGAGTGTGTCCCTTCGCCGAGTTCGGCCAACGCGTCGTCAACTCGCCACATCGGAGCGAAGAACTCGCCACATCGGAGGCCGCAAGCCATCGAGAGCTGAGTGGCAAGTGGCATCGAAACTGGCACCTTCTGAGCTCTCAGGCGATGAGAAGGATAGGCCTCAAGGCCAAGTTAGGGGAAAAGCCATCAGAAAGGAGTACAGGAGTTTCTTGGAGAGGTGGGTCCTGATATTAGAGCAATAACAACACTGGGAGTTGAATGGGGTGCACTCTTCGCCAATTTTCAGAGCCAGAGGTCCTGTTTGATCCTGGCAAGTCTCCAAATGTTTGATATATAGAGTCTTTGAAGTTCTGTACAGCAGAATCCAATAAGTGTGTATCACCCACAGATGCGTGCCGTGGTCGCGCCCTCGCCACGCCATCATCGTTGGGAATCTTCGGGCTACGATCTGAAGTAGAGATACAATACTGGTGTATGTGTGTCCACGCCAACTTTTGAGCAGTCAACATTCTGAGATCTTGCCTTGGAAGACTTCCAAAGCCTGTGGCATTGCAATCTTCGGTGGATGCCAATTGAACATAAGGATTTTCAAACCTGTGATTAGGCAAATCCCCCCAAAGTAAAATTGTTATATAGAATAAATATCAAAATATATTCATTGAATTATAGATTGTAGAGCTTCGCAGACCGGCGATGCCGGTAGGGCGCGTGTTCGGTTTCTGATTTTATGTTTTTTGCGGCTGTCCGTTGCCTTTGTTTTTTTTGTTTGGTTATTGTTATTATTATTGGTTTCGAATATATCGCACACGTTATTAAAGATTTATATTAAATATATTTGAGGCCTATGTATGCGTGTATATAAACAATAATTAGATAAAAATTTTGGGGTTGGTGGTTTAAAAAAATATGTTTAATGATTAACATGAAAATATTAAACAAATATAATTTCGAGAATTTAATTATATATATTTATTTGTTTATTTTTTTTGTAGGTTTATGTAAATAAATTATAAATATATTATTGATTTGATTTATCGAATTGTTTAAATTTATTTATTATATATATATATTTTATTTTTTTTTAATATTAATTAAATTAAAATTATTATTATAAAAATAACAATAATTATTTTATTATAATTTATTATATATATATTTTTTTTTGTTTTAATTATTTTAGGAATATTATATGATATCGCCGGAATATATTTAAGACTTAATTTTTCCGATTGTTTTTGAATATTTAAATAAATAAATTGATATTAACTATATATATTTAATATTTTTTATTTTAAATAATTGGAATTTTTATTGGCAGGATTGTATAGGCTAATATATATTTTATATTTAAATAAAATAATAAAAATTCATTTGTAATTTATTGAAATTGGCCCTAGAGAAATTATGCTTTGAAAATACGATGATAAGATCGCCGATAATATTAATTTGAAAAGAGGTAGATAAAAGAATGATCGATTAAAAATTAATTTCAGAAAATTGTTAGTAATAAAAAAATGTTTAATATTTCGAAAAATATCATCAATTGCAGGCGCCGAGGTGCGATTCCAAGCATAAGAATAGCCTTGGCATTAACGAAAAACAAACCTACGATTAAATTTGATTTTCGCAATGTGCCTCTAGCGCACCAGAATTTTGCAAGGCATTGATAGCAAAATTGAAATTCGTTTGAGAAAAAGATAGCAAGTGAGGTGTGCCTAATTGAGGTTCGTCCGGTCTTGGGAAATATTTTTATGAATTTCCTATGGTATTTAATGATCGATTCTATTTATTTCTGTTTATTATATAAATAATATGTTTCGAAGATTTCTTCCGCATAAAGTTATATGCAACTTCAAAACAATTGAACATTGGCCTTGCAAGCAAGCAAAAACATTATTCTATTCCTAGAGGTCTGTTGAGGGCAAAAGGATGAGAGGTGTGGCAATTTTGGGTGGGAAATTAATTCGTATCCCAAAGATATTAAATATAGATTTTCGTCCTTATTGGTATATTTCGTTATTCCATATTTTATCATTGTATGATCCGTAGCATCTAATCATTGGTGACCAAATATTTTGTCCATATGGAAAAAGAAGATGTCATTAATTGCAATACCGCGTATTGTTCCCAGCTTGAGCGGAGGAAAATCTATGCACAAAAACCAAAATGTTGATATCCCTGAGCAATAATAGTTTCCTGAATAATGCAAAACGACTAATTGAAACACATGGGCCACACAAATTTTGCAGGATAAACAACCTCATATTAATCCATTTCCATATCACGAACATCAACCACAAAGTGTTGGAGAGTGGCTCTTGGCAAACCACTAACGTGATTGGCAGGCGTCCGAGCCAGCTTTAAATCTATTCGGGTGCGGCCAGCACGTCAAACCAAATATATTCATCGCGTTTGGACATATAAAAACCTCTTTGTCAATTTCAACAACCAAATCCATAAATTAATTGGGGTCTATAAACCAAGCTAGTGGAGAAAAACAATTCTTCACAAATTGAGATGAAAGATCAATTCCAAATTTTACGTTGCCGATTTGCCGACTTTGCAATTGAGAAAAGATCATCGATTACATTGATATTGTGTTTCAAGCGATTTTTTCCACATTGAAAATATCGCCACATAAGGCTAAGATATTGCTCCCTGCCGGCGCCCATTGATATGTTCCAGGAATGATAAAATGATAATTTATGCATTCCAAATCTCCGCTTTGGTCGACAAAGCAATAATTGAGGCCTGCAATTTTGGATATTTATCGTTCGGGCATTCCTGGAAGTGTTTATAAGCTCCATGAACGGCCGGCGCACTGCCGCAATACCTCCCAATTGCAGTCAGGAAACGGCTTACTTGTCCACCCATGTACTCCAAAATTTCTAATTGCAACTTCGTACGTTGATTGATATTGGCGAATCGCTCTGGATACAATTTGAAATCGATTGCCAGAAAAACCAACTAAATTGCAGGTGAAAAATGGGTATACATAGCAATAGAAAAATATAATTTTGGCCAAATCACACATTGAAAGATTTGGTGAAAGAATTGTTTGAAATATGAAAACAATCATCTATTATTTTTTTTAATATAGGTGTGCCATCTTCACGTTGGCGGGCAACGACGTGCGCAACATCTCAATGTCATTTAGAAGGAGAAATATATTTGACGATCTGGAGAGGAATTTGAGTTTCCCCAAATACCGCAGGGACACAAAGATACACAAAAGGGGGCTGTTGCCATGGTATTTAAATCAAAATGGCTAATTGCGTAATCATTCATCCTTAGTTAAATCTGGTTGAAATTGGCATATATTCCTTTAGATATATTCCATCCTTAAATATGCGATTATTTATTTATTTTTTATTTATGGATGATTTTGTTTTATTCATTATATATAGATAATATATATTTTTAATTTTAACCAATCATGGAATCTAATTATTTATTATCAGATTATAGCAAGATTATTTTCTAATTTAATATAATCAAAATATACAGATTATGAATTGAAAATATATGAAAATATTTACATAAATTAACTAAATCTGCAGGGAATTCGTATTTAATCAGACCTTAAGAAAGATTAATTTATCGTTAAGGAATGAAATAGATAAATTTTAGTATTAATAGAATATTTTGGGAATAGAAATATTATAGCAATATGAGAAATAAATATAAATTCCATAGAAGAAAGATTCATAAATAATATAAGATTAATTTCCAAGGCATAAATATTTTATTTAAATAAATTTAGATGCGATAATAATGAAGATAAATCCATTGGCTAACGATAAACAAAAAAGATGCTTTTCATTATATCATTCATAAATTAACTATTAAAAGATAATGTCACGAGACAAATTTCATAGAAGGATTAAACAAAATTAGATTTCGATATTTATTCGAATCATATAATTGGGATTCCCAATCATAATATAATATCGGAGGCAAACATATGTCTATCAAAATATTCCGCCAACTTATTCGTATTTTCTTGTATCAATATTTAGAGGACGAAAGCCAACGAGAGACCAATTGTGCAAGATTGGGAGGAAAAAAGAGCGGAGCACTTATTGTTGAATGCCTGTAGCTTTTGTGGAGCTTGAATCAACGTGGAGTAGATCAAGATCGGAGCACAACATGAAGTAAAAATGATGAATGTCTTAGGTTTTCTCGATTTTCCTGGCGCGGTGCTCTCTGGAGCGTCCCTATTTGGTGGTCTATTTGAGAGTCCGTGTAAAAATAAACATCAATGAAGACCAGGAGAAAGATGCCCGAAAGGTGGTTTTTGATTGTTTTCAAATGTGTTTCGGGCATCGTGCATCAATGCGAAGTCCTATAAAGAGCAGGGCTGGGAGAAAAAATGAGGAGAGCACTCATTCTTGAATGGTTGTAGTTTTCGTGGAGCTGGTATCACTGCGACGTAGATGAAGATCGGAGCACAATATGAAATATTGGTGCGGTGCCTTCTGGAGCGTCCCTTGTTGGCATTCTATTTGAGAATCCATACAAAAAATAGACGTCAAAGAATACCAGGAGAATGATGCCCGAAATGGTTTTTATGGTTGTATTGAAGTGCGTTTCGGGTATCGTGCATCAATGCGAAGCCATATAGAGAGCAGGGCTGTGAGGAAAATAACGCAGAATACTTATAATTGAAAATTTGTGATTTCGTAGAGCTGGTATCATTGCGATTGAGATCAAGATCGGAGTACAATATGAAGTGTTAAATGCTTGCAATTGTCTTGTTTCTTCTCTTGCGGCATTCTTATCTCTAAGCCTCTACCTCGCCCAACTGGACATATTCACATCGTTCGCTCCCAGAATGTTCACTCTTTGTTGCTCGGTCCTTCTTGATATAATCAGAGCTACACAGTCCCTATGCCCTGCTCAGGACTAGAAAAATTGCCTCCAAATCCCTTCATGATGCTAATGATGCACTACTCGGCATCCATTACATCATTCGTATCACCAGACCCCATTTTAATTGTTTTTCTAACCCTCGCTTTGGGGCGCTCTCCCCCACCAAATTCCGAATTCATCCTTTCAAAAAGTGCCTTTTCGCGTCCTCCCCCCCCCACACCCCCTTAA